AAAAGAAAAATTCTTTATCAGTTGTCAATTAGTGACATTCATAATATACTTTAGGGATAAATTAAAGCCCCTGCATTAGTGCTCTCATTAAGGTTTTTATTTTATTTTTTTACATTAAGAACAGGTACTGTTTTATTAAATGACCATATTACAAAAATACCACGGTAGATACCTTAGTTCATCCTTCTAATAAGCCTCTTGATCTGGTCTTCCCGGTAAAAACAACCCCAACCTCCGCAAAAAAAGGGGGCCTTTTTTTTTCATTCTACCTCTTGGAGAATATAACCTGAAAGGCCACACAAAGTTATTTGCCTCTTTGAAGTGTTTTCCATAGTGTAGATCTCATGAATCAGATCCTCCATGCAGATGATGCCATATTTACCAAGCGATCAAGCAATCAAAGCGTTATCTGTCAAGGCAATTTGTTTCCTACTGATTTTGCCATATCCATGCTTGTAGATTAGTTCATTCATTAACGTCAGATTTGGATACCCCCATGCAATATATGGTTCCTCAGCATGTTAATTGAAGCCTTGTTGCGCTTAATGAAGGTGGCATTGAAGATCTGGTGAAGGAGAAGAATTTGCAACACCTTAATAACCTTTGCACCCATACCATTGACACTTGATCTTGATGACAAATGCCAATTTTGGTTCTGCAGGTACACAGAAGTTGCCAGATTTTCTAGCCATTCAAATCTCCATTCTGTACATGTGCCTATAATCTTTGTGGCAATGCTTGGCTTTTTTTTTTTTTTTAAATTATAGATAAGTTTCCTCCTTGACTTTTAAAACATCTTTTGGGCAAACTTCTTTCTTGGATGATTTACCTTCAGCTCTGTGATGCCGCAGTCTGGCTGGGCACAAATAACCCAGCCCCCACGAAGCACTTGTAGGTTCAAAACAGCAACTCTTTATTGCTGAACTCCACCAGCACTCCACGCACACTCCCCGGGAACTCTCCCCTAGGATCTCTCCCAGCTCTCCACCGGGCTCCGAGCCCTCTCTCCCTCC